CAGGCATTTCTACATTTGAAATAGAAATTTATTTTCTCCTTTCTTCAAGTGCCCAAAGTGAGCCTTGTTATTCTAATAAGATGTGAACCACCTTTGAAACGGTCCATTATTTCCTAAGGCACTCGTTCCACCACCCGCCCCCCCAGAAGGTAAAAAGAGCTCTGGTGGTTTATATTCTAAATTTTGACTGACCAGAACAAAACGTTTTCCCAGTGATGTGGTTTAGCACCTAAGCTTTTTTTGGTGTGCATTTAATTGAACCTTAGGAGGCAACATTTCTTAAAAAAAATTTATTGTCTTCTTAATTTTCATAGAGCACAATTCCCCTCTGATACTTCATTTTCATAGTCTGCTCTGAATATGATTCAAAGGTTTCTCTCACAGTTTGCATTTATGTTGTGGGTTAAAAAAAAAAAAAAGAACCTCTGCTATTTGCAGCAAAATTAGTAAATGTCTCCCTAAGCAAAAATAGTTTCAATAGGCAAAGAGTATTAGAATCAGAGCCAGGGGACAGATAAGAGCAAGAATCGGGAAAGTGATTTTGTAAGAGCTGTTTTATTCCGTAAATGAGCAGGTTCTGCAAATGTGTCTGAGCATCCCACTCATAGCACTAGCAACAGCAGTGATGCTTTTCCCTCAAAAACTGCATCCAGTACAGCTGAAATGCAGTTAGAAAATAAACAAACTCAACCTTCTTCTAAGCTATTTGGGGGCAGCAAGGCAGACAAAGGCAACTGCAAGGCAGAAAAAGAAATGTTTTTTTCTCTGACTCTTGCAGTATCCAGACCTATTGATGCTTCACCCTGGATTCTGCAGATTTACCACTTAATACTGTCCAAAGATTATAATGCATCGATTATAAAAGCCATTATAGATGTACCACTTACATTGTTAACGAGCTTGGCTATAAAGGGATTTGCAACCTGAATTTCATGACAGAGCTGAGGTATAATTTGCTCTGGGCTATAAAACATATGAATTATTGAGGCAATTTACTTCCAAGTCTACTTTTTTTTTTTTTTTTTTCTGAGCACAAGTGCTCACAGAGCATGCCTGTCTGTGTGAGAGGAGAGAGACAGGGCTGCAAGCTGTGGGCAGTCATGTAAGCACCACCTTCTCTAGAGGGACATCTCCCCACCAATGGCTCTTTCACATAGCCAGCTAAGAACAGCAGAAAATAACTGGCAAAACAATCATTTTGGACAGATGAGAGGAGAAAAAAATTGCATGTTGAGCAGTGCCAAATGATCACCAATTTCAAATCACAGATAAAAATGCACTTGGGGTAATTACAGAGAGAGACTTTTTCCTTAATAGATGTCACCAAGCTTATGTGGATATAACCAGTCTTGAGTGGATCCAAAACATTAGATAAAACAGGGAAGCTCATTTTTAACTTACTGTGAATTAGGGTTGGGAGCTCATAGTGTCCTCTTCTTAGTCACATTGCAAAAATGCATATGGAGGGGAAGCTGGCTACTGGGCCTGCTCTTATAGACATTAACAACAAGAAAGCCTGTCTCTCTCTGGCTTGTCTAATTAAACAGAAGAGACCCAGGTGATGAATGGACACTCTTTTCCATTCTGCTTCCTGCTATCTAGCATTATGTAAGGCACATGAGAGCAACATTTTCAAGCTGTGCTTGTGTAGATCAGGATTCAGGAGACCATCCTTTTAATTGCTTTTCTGACATCAGTTTGTTAAGGGGTCGTTTTCTCTCCCTGTGTTCCCACATGCAACAGTGATTCTAATTGATGAACTGGACTTTCTGCACAAATACAAACTGTTCTCAAGATGGGAAGAGAGCTCTTTGTTTGCTGCAGGAGTTTAAACATAACTTGTAAATCCCCTAGTCATGATTTTTCTGTCTGGAGGGATATAACCTCTGCAATGCTATCAAGCTGAAGAAGCCTGTTAAGTGGAAGTGTAAATAATGAGCAGTTGTGGGGGCAGTCTATCTCCTCAGAAACAGAAGGCTGGGGCAGTTTGATTATCAGCTTTCTGTGAGGGGTCAGATGATAATGAGAAAGGACTGAGACATCACTATTGAAAATATTGTGAGGAGCAGATCGAGCTACTTCTGATGTACAAATAAAATTCTGTGTCCTGCAGGTTGATTAGCTCAGTAGTTTATGTTAACAAATAATTTCTGTTTCAATTGATGGACCATGTTGTAGGCAAGAGCCTGGGCAAGACACAAAACTTTTACTTAGGTGTTAGAAAGAAAACACCAGATTATGCCCTTCATCCTAGGAAGTCAGAGAAGAAACTAAGTGCTTTATTCACTATGCTGTGTCAAACAACACTTGCTTCCTACATACCCATGGCAACTCACTCCTGCTCCCTTTCTATCTGCTCTGTACTTCTGTAAAGAAAAAGGCAAGTCCAGTTGTTTTCTTTTCATCTGGAAAATGATTGTGGAAGTGTGCAATTAAGGACACAAGTGACAGATTACTGCAGATTCTAGTCAGGCTAGGTCGGCAAGAGAGATACCCCAGAGCCAGGCAGGCTTTTCTCTGAACCCAGGTGGTAACCTTGCCAGATGTGAGTTGTAAGCCCTCCACAGGCACTGAGAGCCCCTCGTAACCGAATGGAAGCAGGTCTCCTTGCAGTTTTGTAGATGATCTGTCAGGTGCTGGTGGCAGCTCACAAGGCAGAAGCGTTGTGCAATCAAAAGCATGAAGGGAAGGGAAGTCAAACCGGTGTGATTATTCCCCGCCCTCAAGCAAGCTCGGTCCTAGCACTGCAGTGTCATCTCTGAAGAACGGAGCCAACCCGTGCCTTAGTTGCAGCAGCGGGAGCTTGTCTCCTAGAAAGCTGTTCCCTGCGGTGATAAACGCAATACACTGAAAAGGAAAGGACTGCCCTCTTGTGTCAGTCGCTGTTTTTTCATTTGCCTGGTTTTATATTCTCGTTTCTATTAGTGAGTGAGCACTCAGCCATTTCCCTCCGACAGAAATTCCTTTGGAAAGGTATGGGATTTGTTTCTGAGTACTATCCTGATGGAAAAGTTCAATAAATAAAAGTACATCTACTGTATTTGTGACTTGGAGAGACCCAGAACTGGGCATATATTGCTCTTCCAGCTAGAGACATCCGAATAGTTACACTAGTTTCCATCTTGACACAGAAAAAGAAGGCAAAGGACAGAATAAAACAGGAGAAGTATAATTAAAAATGACCAAGAAGAGACAGAAGAGAAGCAGATTTGTTAAACCAGTCTTTCCCTGCAACCCTCATGGTAAACTACAAGTTAAATATAGACCCAACACTTCTCTAGGGAGCTGGACTCAGGAACACCTCACACACCATGAATGTGCAGCAGAGATTCTAGTCTCAGTCTTATTGGCTGGCAGAGAGATCTTAATTTTTAAATCATTACTGCTCATTTCCAGGGTAGTTCTTGTAGTAAAGGTTGTCAGAGAATAGTCTTCTAGAAGCTGTGCAACATTTTGTGCCCACAGTTTATACTGTTTATTAATAACACACACCTCAATATTTGCAGAGGGTGGGCCTTTTTCACAGCTACCAAAGCCATTGCAGCAAAACTGAAGACCATTGGTCATATCTTTGTTAGTCAGCACTGACTGGCCCAGCACTCCACACGTTATGTTA